GGCGGGCCCGCCGGCTTCTGCCGCACGAGGGCGGCGAGTTTGGAGACGACGCCGAGCTTGACCAGCCGCGAGGCCGTGCGTTCGTCGGAGACGGCGGCTTCGACGACGCTGAGAGCTCCCAACGCCACCTCGAGAGGAATCGCGTTATTCTTCGGGGGGGGCGACAAGGATAAGAGCGGGGAGACAGAGCGAGGGGGAAGAGTCAGATGGGCGACGGAGAAAGCGCTCGCAGTGCCACATCCCGCACACGGCGGCGTTCAGACAAATCAACGATTTCAGGTGGGCTGACCGTACGTACGACCTTCGGTGGCACAGTCTACGCCAAATATCACGGGGCCCCCTCACCGAGGAAGCGCCATCCAGATGCCTCCCAACCATCAGCAGGTCCAGCACGGCAGGGAACTTGGGGCTGTCGACGAGCATCGGTCGGAGTCGAGGGTTGGCCGCCGCCTTCGCGAGCAGAGCCAACGACCTCGGCCCCAGAGATCCAGCCGCTGCCCCCGAGGAGCCGCCATCCCCGGCATTATATGCCGTCGCCCGGTTGGCGGTGGTGCCGTGGAGAACCAGCTCGCAGAGCTCGTCCACCGTGCGGCCGATGGTCGCGGCCGTCGCGGGTGACACTGGCGCCACCGAGTCTTCGCTACTACCACGCCGGTGGCCACTACTGCTGTCCTCCAGACTCAGAAACGCCGCGATGGTATCGAGCACGAGCACTCCGGCCGCCGTGTCGCCTCTTGCCCTGTCCGCGCCGCCGCCGCCGCCGCTGCCCTTGAGGCGCAAGCAAGACATGCGGCCCATGAGCCGGGGGAGCGTGCCGTGGGCCGCCAGCGTCGCCGAGGAGGGTCCCCGGGACAACGACCAGACCACCCGGATCGCGGCCCGGGTCAGCTTCGCCGAAGACAGCGCCTCGCTGTCAGTCGAGATAAAACCGCCGCCGCCGCTCGACCCTCCGGCGTCAAGCAGCGCTACCGCCCGCGTCGCCAGCCCCCGAGAGGTCGCCGACGCCGCCGCCAAAAGGCAATTGGCCGTCTGGGCGCGCGCCTGGTAGGCCGGCAAGACGCGATCTACTTCGTCAGCGGCGACCGACCCCGAAGGTGCAACAGCGCCACCGCCAACGCCCAACACCGGGAGGGGAGGCGCGCCGCACACGCTCCCGGCCGCCAGCAGCGCCGCTTCCAGGAAGGCGGGACCCCCCCTGCCCTCCGCCCCGGCCTCAACGCTGGACAGTATCGTGCTCCAGGTGCTGCTGCCGCCGCCACTGCGAGCGGCCCCACCCTGCTGCTCATCGACCCCGGCGGCCACGACGAAAAGCCCGTGCACAGCCGGGTCCGGGTTGGCGGCGAGGAAGTGGAGGGCCAGGAGGGCGGAGGTCGCGACGGAGGCGGCGGTAGCGGCGGCGGCGGCATCTCCGGGAATGGTCGCCGATCCACCACCTGCAACGCCACGGCCCCTCCTGCCGAGCACGGAAAGAGCCGGGTCGACGTGCTGCCGCACGAGGCCCTCGACCGCGCCCTCAGACACCAGCGCAAGGACGGCCTCCGAGGACGCGCGGGACCGGCTCATCGCCGCCGCCGTCCCGAGCATGGCCGCCAGGGCCTCGAGAGCGACCGGCCTGGCCATCGGGGACGGGTCGGAGCAGGCCCTCCAGAGCGCCCCCAGCCCCCCGGCCTCGATCATATCCTTTGCGATGCCGCCGCCGCCGCCGCGGTTGGAGTTGGGCGCAGGGCCTGGGCGGCACCGGCGGGACAGCTGGAGCGCGAGCTCGGCGGTGGTGAAGCGCAGCTTGGGGTCCGGCGCAGAGAGGAGGGCCACCACCCGGACGTGTGCCCGAGTGGCGGCAATCTCGGCCGCTATCTCGTCGACCTTCGCCTCCGCCGCCGCCGCCGGTTGATCCCCGTCGCCACGCAGGAAGCCGGTAAGGACGATGAGCGCGAGCTGCATCAACGAGGCCCTGGTTACGGGCTCCGCCGCCGCCGCGCCCCTCGCGGGGTGGTCCTCCAGGCAAGCCGCCACGGCGGGGATGGTGCCGGCCGCGCGGAGTCGGCCGGAGAAGGGGGGGTGAGAGGCCAGGACGACCAGAAGCTCCATGGCCAGGGCGGAGGCGTGGGCGTCTTTGCTGGTGCCGCCGGCAAGCATTCCAAGCAGGGGGTCGATGATGCTCGCCTGCGAGAGACCGGGCCGCAAGGAAAAAAAGCGAGGCAAGATTACCAACATGTCGGTCTGTTTCGAACGCAAAGGGCGTGCACCGGAGGCTCCATGTAGAAGGCATCACTGGTAAGGCAAGAGCGTAGCGCTCGTCTTACCCCCGGTCCTGGTGACCTCTTTTCACGGTCCGAACCCTCCTCCCCAACAAGCAACAACAACAGCAACCATGCCCACGCAAGGCACTGACATCGACAGCCTCGATGGCTGAGCGTGGGACGGCGGCACTCGAACCGGCCCCGCCGCCGCCGCCACCGCTCCGCAGGGCGGAGGCCAGAACACCGCACACGTGCACGGCGATGTCGGCAGGGCCCGCCACGAGCTGACGGCAGAGAAGGGGGATCCCCCGGCAGGCCAGGAACGCCTGGACGGCGCGAGGCCGGTCGGCCATGACCGGCTGGAGGGTGGCGCAGAGCCACACGCGGAGGCCCTTCGTCTCGACCGCGGCGGTCGGCGGCGGCGCCAGCGGCAAGGACTCCAACACCTCGAGCATGATCTGACGACGAGTTGCACGCGGAGCGCGTGGGGGGG